ATTTGCTGAATATTTTTGAGGATGTAGTTAGTGGTACTGTACTGCCCTATACCAAGAGGACTGGGGCTGCAACTAACAATTAATTTTATTTTATTTTTTTTGATTCATTGTTTAATTTTTTGGTCAGAAAATGGTTAAAAAAAAAAATAAAAAATGTTGATCAAAGTCCAACATGGGCCTGAAAATGACTTGTTTTGTCCACAACCCAAAGATGTTCAATTTACTGTCAAGCAGGAGAAAAAAAAGAAAATACTCACATTTAGGAAGCTGGAATCAGAGAATTTAGACTTTTTTTTTTACTCTAGCTGACTAACTAATTATCAAAGCAGGTGGCAGTAATTCAATAGTTCACAATTAATTCATTGATCGATTAGCTGTTGCAGCTCCACAGAGGATAAATAGTAGAAACACTTGTCAAACTCCAATTCCACACATACTCAGCATGTGTGTTAAAAAAATAAAAAAAAACAGGAGCAAATGTATTCATGCTTCTGGCTCAGCTGAGTCAGTGAAAATGAATTTACAACTATTTTGATGATTCAGTTATTTTGGGAAACTGATTTTTCACAATTTTCTGACATCTTTATGAATATTTTAGAGGATGACGTTTGTGTTGCTGTTGTGAAATATACAAAGAGAGCTGCAAAGAGGATTTTTTTTTCATTAGTTTCTAGATTAAATGAAGTCGTTTGGTCTATAAAATCAGAAAATTATGAAAAGTGTTGCTCAAAGCCCAAGATGAACAAATGTCTTGTTTTGTCCACAAGCCAAATATATTCAGTTCACTGTCACAGAGGAGGATAGAAACCAGAAAATACTCTCATTTAGGAAGCTGGAATCAGAGAATTTAGACTTTTTTTCTTATCAGGTTACTCAAACTTATCAACCTACTGTCAAAATAGTTGGCGATTAGTTTTATAATTGAAAACTAATTGATTATTTGTTGGAGCTCTCCAGAGGACAGATCATAGAAACATCTGGCAACATCAAATCAACACATGTGCAGCATGCGTGTTAGGAAACAGCAGCGAATTATTCATGCTGCTGGCTCAGCTGACTCATTAAACATTCATTTGCATTAATTTAGCACATTTAGCTTCACGCAAGAACAATACTGACTAAATATCTGGTGGCTCCAGATTTTATGAATGAAATTATTTCATGTTTCTACGTTTTGGACATCAGCTCAGGCAACAAGCTGTTTTTTTTTGGTTTGTTTTTTTTTTACATAAATTGTTTAGTTGATTTGTCTATAAAATGTATTAATGTAATTAATGTATTGTCAAAATAGTCTGCAATAAGTTTACCAGCCTGTCAAAACCAACATCATATGCAACATTAGAAATATTCACGCTGCTGTCAGTTAGAATCTGTTAATAATTTAGCTTTTTCACGAGCACCATTACCGAATCTCCAGTGGTTCCAGATTCTATGAATGAAACTAATTAATATTAGTACGTTTTGGACTGTGAAGAGGGCTCTGAGGAACTGTGATTTTTCACAATTTCCTGACGAGCTCTAAAGAGGACAAACACCGTAGTAGAAACACCTGCCAGCGTGACATACAGTCGTCCTCGAATTCAATCATTATCATTAAAGAAAAGGCAAAACAGTCACTCAAATAACTAGAAACTGGAAAAGTAATCATAAATAAAAATTTACTAAATTATAATGTTGTGAAGTAAGACTTTGCTTTGAAATTGTGGTTGAAAAGAATAATTTAAAAAATAAATTTAAAAAAATTTGACAAATTAGAGCACTTTGCTGATGAGCTTTGGGCCAAAATCAAAATAGCTGTCAACAGGTGCAGAAGTCTGACTGAGAGCTACAGAAAACACCTGATTGGCTCAAAGGGTTGTTCAACAAAATATTAGTTCAACGGTCCCATCATGCTTTTTTTTTTTTTTTTTTTAAATATATTTCTGTTGAACCACAATTCAAAAGCAATGTCATGATGTTCATTACATTTTTATTTATTATTACTTTGGTCAATTTAAACTTATTTCAGTGCCAGATTTTTTTTCCCCTTCTTTGGGTATGAATACATTTGACTGTAACACAACCCAGCAGCACCACAAACTGCAGCATCAATGCAAACATTAGCAACAGATGTGATGTTGCACCACAGATACGTAAAAAAAAAAAAACAATCAGACCCGGCATGGATTATAGGATGACGAGATGAAAGTTAGTTGCGGCCCCCACAACGCAGCGTCTTCCCCCCGTCGTGAATGTAGAAACGTCAGATCATCTGAGAGTGTGTGAGAGCTGCAATGAGTGCAAAGGAGGAGGAGGAGGAGGAGGCTGCTGCTCATCCCTGCTACTGAAATATACATCGAGCATGCTTAAAGCGCGCACTGTACCTCCAGCAACACCCTCCGCCAGACGCTGCTAGTGAGTGAATGACTGTACACTCCGGTCGTCATCTGGATGGCAGGATCCCAGCAGGAGCCCAAACAACACGGAAATACTCAGCAGTCCTGAAGCACCTATAAAACCCTTCAGACTGATCCCCTGTGTAATTAGAGACTGGAGGAGAAAACGCTGGCGATAATTAAAATAAAACCCCCCCTCCCTCTTGTTTTCCCCTCTCCGCCTGTTCAAACAGCTCTAATTGTACCTGCTTTCCTCTGCATTGTTTTTCACCCTATTTTTTTCACTATTTCTCGGAAGCCAAGGATTGAGACGGAGGATTTGAATAAAGCGTAGGAATCAGATGATGATGATGATGATGATGAGGGAGATGAAAGGTCGGGATGGTGGGAGAGCGAAGCTTCGATTACTCGACTCGCAGGATTAACTCATCAGCAGCATTTGGGTTTTTTTTGTTGTTGTTGCTCTTTTCTTCCTCTCACCCTGTGACTGATATTCTTTAAGATCTCGCCTCTCACCACAACTTGAGAAAAAGGGGAACAAAACACTGAGCAGCTGAGAATTTTTTTTGGAAAAAAAAGCAGAATTACAGTTAAAAAAAAAAAAAAACTGGATCTTTCATGTGTTCAGAGCACCAGCTGGTATTTATAGCGTGGCTGTAGGTGTCGAGTGAGAGGAGTGTGGCCTTGTGTGCTTCTCTTGTTTATAGTGAGACACAATTTGCTCACATAAAGACCAGATTACACCACGAGTGAGATTAGATAAAGATTCATCTGACACCTAATCTGGTTCATCCTGATGACCTCTACAGAGGAGAAGAAAGAAGGAGGAAGGAGGAAGGAGGAGGAGGAGGAGGCTGCTCAGTGTGGCACCCAGATAACTTTTCCTTCAAACCTCTTCAGGTCCAAATATGGTCAAGCCCAAGCGGTGGCTTTTGGGGGATTGGAGGGCATGTTGGAGTTCAAAGGCAACAAGATGGAGAGTTGACATCAAACGGCTCCGGTCCTTCAGAACGTGGGTGAGTCAGGGAGCGATGTAGGACAAAAACACCCTCCACAGACAGTGAGTCAGAGGAACTGCGCAGGCACTCAAACAAACCAACAAACATCTCATCTGCCCAACCAGGAATGCATAGTCTCGTTGAAAGTGTGTCTCGTTTAAAGTGTGTCTCGTCATGCATATTTCATGAGGACCCGGTGCTGGGGGGCTCAGTGGTGCGCCGAGGACTCTGTCCGAATGTTGAAGTTGATCTCGCTGGAGTTGCAGGAGTCCGAGTACACGGAGCAGCGTGACACGGACAGGCGGGGGGAGGACGGGTGAGGAACCGGCTCCTGGTGGTGCAGAACTCGGGCCAGCAGCGTCAACCGTCCCTCCTCCTCCTCTTTATCATCCGCAGGAGGGTTTGGCAGTGACGGCCCGCTGCTGGCGCTGTATCTGCTGGAGCGAGCGGGCAGAGGTGGGTTGGCGAGGGGGAGGATGTGGGCCGGAGTGGCCCAGGACGCCGGCTCTCCGGCTTTGCCCTCCCACTGCTCCTGGCAACCGAAGCTGTGCTGGTCCTGAGAGTCCTCCCAGCAGCTACCCCCCTTCAGGTCCTCCAGGTCGTCCGGCGTCTCCATCCTCAGGACCTCTCGATCCCGGTTCTCGTAGAGCAGCGTGGCGGCGCAGATGAAGATGAAGAGGCCCACTCCCATGACCACGGGCCCGGCCAGCTTCATCCTCTCCACGTGGGTGCTGCCTCGGCCTCCCACCGGTTTGGGCGCCGCCGAGACGTAGCCCGCCACAGCCACGCTCATGCCCACCAGCACCACCACCACGCCCAGCAGCAGCCACACGCCCGGGGCCGAACCCAGGTGCAGGCGGATCTGGAGGGCTTCGGTCTTCCTCAGGTGTCTGCGGCAGGCGGGGAGGCAGGCAGGTGAGGAGTGGGAGGAGGAGGTGGGGCTGCAGGCCGGGCTGGCAGCTGTCATCCTCTGGCTTCACGCTGGACACACAAGCAGAGAACACAGGAGTTGAGCAGAATGCAGCATCGGTGGAGCAGCACCGGGGGTGTTGGGCAGCAGATAATTCACTCTGCGTTGCACACAACAGGAAATAGCAGCTTTAATAAGACATGTGGCGAGTTAATGAGATGCCGAGCTGCCTTTCTGCAGCTCCTCCGTGTCTCTGTGGACTCCCAGCCCCTCCTCAACTCCGCTCAGGCTCTCATTCAGCGCCACCAGTGACTGACCCCGCTCAGGACCCTGCGATTTCACTTCACCGCCTCACTGCAGTCGTGAAAATGGAGTCACACAGCTCCACTGACTGAACTCATAATTTAATTTCCCCCCCGAAGCAAGTGGACTCCACGGGCGAGTCGAGCGAAGGCGATAAACTGCAGTTCAAGTTGATTTTTTTACGCAGAGATCCGGATTCCTCTACATGCAGTCGGAGTGGGTACTTGCCTTTTTTTGAACGTAAATCCGAAGCAGAAACTGGCTCCTCGGCATTATCAGGAAAATAAACAACAGAGAGTTATTCCTCCCACTCGTCCACTTTGATCCGCGGTTAATCCACACTTTCACCCAATTCCTCCGCAGATTAACACGTTTCTTCTTTCATCCTTCGCTTCGGTGTCCGAGCGCAACAGCGCAGCCCGAGATGGAGCTGCTTCTCCTTCTCTTCTTTTCTGTTTTTTTGATAGTAAATACTAAAAGTGGTGCAAAGCCGCTGTTCCTCCTCCGTGTCCGCGCTGCTTGTGCGCCTCTGCAGCCGTGTTTCTCAGTGTTTGTGTAGAGGAGGGGTCGTGGGAACGTGTGGCCGGTCCAGGCCGGTCCCACGGTGAGCGCAGTTATTTATTCTCCTCATCACGATCCGTCAAGTGCTTTTCAAGAAGTTACTGACAGAACTGCTCCCCGCCCTAAAAAATAATAAAAAAAAAATAAAAATAAAAAAAAATTCCCACCCACTTTACTACAGATCATTTTAGTGACTGTTTTAGAACACTAGTGCAATGTCACTTAAATCACAAGAAATTATTAATAATTGCAGTTTAACAAAAACACTTCCCAAAAGGTCCCAAATTAGAACCCTAATGCAACAAACTCAGTCCAACAGCAGAACTTTCTCCGTTTTTGGACCTGAGGGTTGTGTCTATCTTTGTCTGCATCGTGGCTCCACATGGAGAGCCGAAGAACTGAAAAATCTAAATGTGTCAAAGATGAAAACGGATGCAGGAAGATCAACTAAAATTCAGCTGCAGCAGTAATCAGGAGGTACAGGAGCCATAGTACCACTAATCAGGGCTGCAGTTGTCGTCCTCTTAAAATAACACAGAAGATAGTGCACTGCTTTCACATTCTAGATCTGAAAAACAGACGGCAGCTGCTTCAGACTTCGCCAAAGGGTTGTCAGTGGAAATCAGAGTTTCTGTGACAGCTCAGACAGTGTGAAGGACACTTCAGAACATCTGCCTCTAAGGAACAAGGACCTAAAACAAAACCTCTGTGTACTCTTTTGCACCAAACTGCAAGATGGGACTTTGCTGATTAACATGAAAAGAAGCTCAGTGAATGTGAGAGGCTAAGATCTGGGATGGGATCAAGATAAATGTGTTGGGCTCAGATGGAGTCCAGCATGTTTGGTGTGAACCTGACCAGGACCACCACAGTGGATGCCTGGTCCTGACAGTGAAGCACAAGTCAGAGTTTCTGTGACAGCTCAGACATTGTGACGTCCATCCATCCATTATCTATACACCTTTTAATCCTCACTAGGGTCGCAGGGGAAGGCTGGAGCCTATCCCGGCTGACTCAGGGTGAAGGCAGAGGACACCTGGACAGGTCGCCAGTCTATCACAGGGCTACACTTAGAGACAGACAACCAAGCACACTCACATTCACACCTAC